CGTCGCGCGCGCGACGGGCGACGGCGCGCGTGTCATCACCGACGCGGAGGCGCCGCCGGAGATGGAGGCGCTCCTCCGGTCGTTCGAGACCGCGGCCGCCGCGCGCGGTCCGCTCCGGCGGCCCGCGGCGGACGTCGCGGCGCTCTTCGCGGCCGCGACGCGCCTCTTCGAGGCCGCGGCCGTCGCCGCGGCCACGCCGCCGGGCGACGGCGACGACGAGCTCGAGTCCCTCGACGCCGTCGCGCGCGGCGCGTTCCGCGCCGCGGACGCGTTCGTCGAAGGCCGCCGCCCGGACCTCGCCGCGTCCCTCGCGACGATTACGGACGCCGCGGCGCCAAACGCGGCGCCGGAGGGCGACGTGCCCGTCGACGTCACGGTCGAAATGGAGCCTCTCCGCGCGCGGTTCCTGTCCCGCGGCGAACTCGACGAGGGCCGAAACGCGCCCTGACGTTGCATCAAGTCTTGCACCGCCAGGGTGCGTTCTCCTTTTTTTGCTCTTCCTACTTCCAGCCACCTCCTGTCTCCCTTCACGTTGGGAATGGCCCCTGTCTCCCTTTCCTTTTTCTAGTGCGCGCCACGAAAACGAGCCCGCACAAGCGACGTGCGCTTTCGTGGCGCCTTTCTCTAATGTTGTGTCGCGATCGCCTCGAGCTGCCTCTCATACTAACCCGGGTTTTATTGACATGCTGCGCCGAGAGTGCTGCTATATCCGCGCGCGTAACACGAAGGACGATGTGCGCCGGGAGGTTCTTGCAAAGGCAGAAGGGCATCGTCAGCAGATGCTTGAAGCGTTTTTGTGCTGGGATAAGATGGATGAAGCGTTTTTGTGCTGGATGATTCGTGCTTCGAGTCGCTTCTCGTCGGAAGTCCGCGAGCCCGTAAAGGTCCGCATGAGCTCGGCGAAGCGGCCCGCGTCGGCGGGCGTGCGCGGAAGCGTGACCGAGGGGCGAGTCCTCGAAGGCAGCGCCGCGCCGCGGGTCCGCGCCCCCTCGCCGCCTTGAGGAAGGCGTCCCGTGCTCGACGTCGCGGACGTGGCGCAGGAGCGCGTGGCGCGTCATCTTCTTCTCGAAGGACGGGCGCGGCGTCGACCAGGGCGCGCGCCCCGAGGATCTCGTCGACGTCTCGGACGCCCCGCGGGACGCCAAGCGCCTCGAGGATCGCCGCGGACCGCGCGCCAACGATCGACGCTCCAGGTGAAGCCGTCGACGCCCAGCGCCTCGAGCGGGCCGCGCAGGAAGGTCACCTCGTCGATTATGGTGCCGGCGCGGCTGCCTCTTTGTCGTCGACCCGCCTTTGTCCTAAATCTGGGCGCGTCCGTCGCCGAGCGCGTGTCCGTGTCGACAGCTCCGACATCGCGTCGATCGATCTGCATGCCTCTGAAGTAAAGAGATAAATAAATCAAACTAAATACGACGACTCGACGACGCGTTACGAGCTCAGTTATGACCGTCGCCTGACTGAGCTACCGCAAGGTAGCACCCTGAGCTTCCCCTCTCTCACCCACTACGCTCATCCTGCTTCTACGGACTGCACATTAACGTCAAGTTGATGTACGGGACTTAGATTCCTTACACATCCGAGCCCCTGGCCGACGCCGTCCCTCGCGGACGTCCCGGACTGGGGTCCCCGGACTGGGGCGGACGCGTCGTGACCGCCCCCGGGGCCACCCGGTATCGTTAGCCATTGTTTCGTACTTCTGGGGGGGGGTCGGCCGTGGCTAGCAGATGAGGTGAACCATAGCACTGGCGTTATAGGCTAGGTTAAGGAGGAGGAGGATACGGGGGAATGGTATCCTAGGGGATGACGCTGGGGGAATTGGGTCATCTGGCTAGAGCCCCCTTAGAGCCCCCCCTATGATTAGAGTTCAAATAAAATTCAATGCGGCAACTTCGCGAACTTCATCGAATGTCATACACCATCGTCAATAATTGGCAGATTACGATGGTGGGACGGCGCGCCGTCGCGCTGACGCTCGCCGGCTCCGCCGGCGCCCTCATCGTCGACGATCCCAAGTGGAAACCGGGCACGTTCCCGCTGACGAAGGACGTCATGCTCGAGGACACCTGGGGCTACGTTGACTCGGACAAGTACCTGCCCCTGAACCACAAGGGCCACGAGTTCGTCAACGCGCACTGCGGCGAGAACGCCGACTTCGAGGACAACATCCCGCTCAAGGATTACGGACGCTTGAGCACCGTGAACTGGTACCCTGACACGCAGCGGTTCCGCGACTTCAAGGGCGCCGTCCGGCGTCCTTTCGAGAGACGCGGGGCGGAAAGACGACCAAAAAACCGTCACTGTAGGCATCGACATGGTGCCCGAGAACGCGGCGAGCTACATCCGGGGCTCGAGCCACGCGAAGAACATGGATTTCGAGACGAAGCAGAAGATCTACGGCGACGAGCACATCTCGCTGCGCAACTGCCGCATCAAGACGCCCGAGGACGGCGGCGCGTGGCACGTGCAGCGCGTCGGCCCCTACCGGAGCCACGGCAACTACGACTGGTGGCAGATGGGCTGGCAGGACGTCGCCTTCTTTTCGGAGGCGCTCGCGAAGCACCCCGAGGGCATCGACGTCAACAAGTACATCCTGGCGCCCGTGGACAAGCACGGGACCCACATCGGCCACCCGCCGCTCCACATCCACCACATCCATCTCGTCGCCCAGGACGGCATCCGGCCGCGGAACCAGCTCCGGGTGTACTGCCACCCGGGTCCCAAGTACTTTGGGAGCAACATCGACAACGTGCTCAAGCAGAAGAACTGCTATAATTCGTCCCTCTTCTTCGAGCAGCACGGCGACTACCAGTGCGAGCCCGAGGACGACGGCACCTCCTGCTTCAGTCAGGGCGACGAGAACACGATGCGCCGCATTTCCGAGCCGCTCGACATCGAGGGCGACTTGAACGACGTCCGCCCCCCGAACTCCGAGGAGATCGAGTGGTACTACCAGGTCGCCATGCACTGGACGCCGCTGGACAGAACTGTTGACGCGACGTCCATGGTCACAATCATGGCGCCCGGCGAGTCCATCCCCAGCGACCAGCTGTCGCGCGTCGGCACGTTCCCGACGCCCACGGACCGGCCGACCTTCATCTGGTACACGGGCCACATGTGGGCCGACGGCGAATTGGTCCGCAACAAGCTCCACGCGCACAACATGGTCTTCGAGTCGTCCCAGTTCTATGCGGCGACGCCCGGCGATTTGGGGCTGGAGAAGGAGAAGTTCTACCCGTCCAGCGGCAAGGCGACGCAGACGCACTACACGAAGGATGACCTGGGCTTCGAAGATAACGACGCATTGATCACCTACATGCAGGACCACATGAAGGTCGCCCAGACGACCTGGGACAGCAAGTGCGGAACCATCAACCCGAACTCGAAAATCGACGCGTGCCGCCGTCGCCGCCCCTACATGGTCTCCGCGGCCGTCTACGACGGCGAGGAGACCGAGTTCGACACGATCGCCGGGAAGATGAGTTTCAGCTTCGACCGGCGCCCCAAGACCTACAGCCGGCCCTGGGTCTTTAAGAAGGGCGAGCAGTTTGTCGTCACGGGCTTCTCGCGGCCGCTCGACCGGCCGCCGAAGCCCGACAAGCCCACGGACATCCCCTCGCACATCCCGGGCCACGTCACCTGGGGTTTTTGGCACAAGCGCCACGGCTGGTTCCACTCCTACTTCTCTCGGGTGATCTGCAACCAGCACTCGATCTTCTTCGACGCGGGGACGGAGTACGGCATCGGCGACATGGTCGGCATCCTCGCGAGCGTCGTCTTCAACGACGGCCTCCCTTCGAACAACAACCTGCGCTACTACGGCTCCTTTGCCCCCCTCGTCTTGCTCATCGCCATCGGCTCCTCCGGCACCTACGTCGCGACGAAGAAGAAGAACGATTAGAGGCGCACACACACAAAAAAGCTGCGTTTTACATGGCCCTACCGGCACCGTCTTCTTCCATGAAAAGTCGGTTCGTACCACCAAATACGGCTGGGTAATGCCGACCATCGCCCCATAAGTAGACTTTTCGGCGTTGACCACGGTGGTTTAAATATTGCCCCTTGTGGGAGATTGTGGCTGAGGTGGCTGCGCCATCCAAGTGCGGTCCGTCGGCCTTCACTTCCGGCGTTCCTTAGTTCAATTGAGCTCAGCCCCCCCTTGCGGGGGGAGTTTACCCTTACCTAGGTAGGGAGAAATACACCCCAAACTAGGGTAATACTAGTAAGGAACGCCGTCGAGCCTGAGGTCAACGTCAAGGGGGAGTGTAGTGTCATCTCCATAGCCGCTGAGTGTGACGTCGCGAGAGAGGAGGGGCCTAACTAGGGAAACTTTCATGTTTGTTCCTCTAACTAGAGGAAACTCTCTAACCCTGCCAGAGGAGCCAGGATACTCCTAGGATACCCGTAACGCAGTCTCACTCAGGCTCTGATCTGGGCTATGTTAGCTCTCCAAGATGTACGGCACCTACAACGACGAGGGCGTCGCCATCCGGAAGATGCTCGCCGCGCTGAACATGCGCGCCCTCGGCGGCCCGACCGAGCTCCAGCTCAGCCTCGCGTGCTCCAGCCGCGGCCGTGTTCCGGCGCGCGTTCCGGCGTGTTCTGGTTTTCCGGCTCCCGGTCGCTACCCGCCACGCGCGTGGCTGCTCTGCAGCTCGCGCACCTCGATACTTAAGCGCCCTATGCTTGCTTCTTGGCCTTCGTGCCCTTCTCATTTTCGTTGATCGCGCGACGACCCTACCCTGCTCAGTCTGGGACTGGCACTTTGATAAAAACGCGGCACACCACAGCTTACAAGCGGCGTTTCTCTTCGAACAACATATGCGCTGGGCCCGAGGCAGGGCCCCGGCTCTACGCGGCGAAGACGGAGGGGGCGGCGACGGTGAGGACCTTGTTCACGACGTAGACGTCGCCGAAGGAGAAGGCGAGCCAGAAGCCGAACCAGACCCAGTCGTTGGTGCCGCAGTGTTTGAGCATGCCGTTGATGATGCCGTCGCAGTAGCCGACGAGGCAAAAGTTCGCGTCGTGCGGCGGCTTGTGGTGGCCGAGATGCTTGTTCTGGGGGCACATGAAACCCTTGTCCATGAGGTACTGGGCGACGCGGGGGCGCTTGCTCTTGGGCGTGTGGGCGGAGCGGTGGCAGTACTGGCCAAAGTAGGCGCCGAAGAGCTTGAGGCCCGTGAGTGTGGCGGCGGTGCCGGTCGTGTAGCGGAGCGCGACGCAGTTGATCACGACCGAGACGGCGACGATGATGTTCAGGTCGGCGCAGCAGGCGACGAAGGACTTCTTCGTGATGTCGACGGGGATGGCGTGGTGCCACTGGAACTCGAGGCAGCCCTGGAACAGGATGTACGATTTGAGGCCCGCCAAGTTCCGCTGGTCGTCCAAATTGACGTGCGTGACTCCCGAGTAGACGTCGTAGCAGAGGTACATGGCGGGGACGCCGAGCAGGACGACCGCGGGGCTCGGCGCCTGGCAGATCAGGTAGATCGCGACGGCGCTGTAGACCCAGACCATCCAGAGGTAGCGGTTCGGGTAGACCAGGGCGCCGTCCGCCGCGACGACGTGCGAAAGCTCGATCGGCGGCGCGGTCTTGGCCCCCGTCCGCTGCCGCTCGAGGATGTCCGCGACCTTGTCGTTGAGGTCCTTGTAGTAGCTCGCTGAGGGCACGTTCGACGCCGCGTCCATGTACACCTCCCGGGGGACGGCCGCAAGCAGCGGGTCCCGCGCGGCCGGGGGGGCAGCCCTGCCGAGCTTCGCCGCCACGGGCCCCGGCGAGCACAGCTCGCTCTGAAAGTCGCTCGCCCGCTGCGGAACCTGCCCGCCCTTGCCCATGGTGCGCCCGCTCACCACGTCCACTCCAAGGGCTTCGAAGCGGATCTATATCTATAGCCCCCAATACGACTTGGAGTGCTAGCGGCCTGGTAATAGACATAGGCATGAAGAGACTTAACGCTGATCACTTCATCAACGCCATCGTTAAGGTCTACAACCAGATGAAGCTTGAGTACGGTATAGCACTTAAGCTACTCGTCACAGACTCATTCTCCACGTTCAAGGATGGTGACAAAGTCTTGCAGATCCTGATGACACTTACGTCTCCTTCTTCACCAGCGCAGGATGCCCCACCAATGATTACTCTGAGGCTGCGCGGCGGATTACCACCCAATGTGTTCCAGGGTACCGCGACAAATTCCAACTACTAGGCATGATGGAAGCATCCCAACAATTGTCCGATCTCATGGTCGAACATATCGCTGACATACCATGTCCGAAGGAGGAAATCATTGCAGAAAAGATGCTGCAAGCCATTTTGAATGTAAATGATCGGTGCTCACTTAGTCGCATAAAGAATCGACCAAGGCGTTTCATGGTTAGCGTCACAGCGACGTGCCAGGTAACACCAGGCTCAGCGAGGTTGCACAGTCGCCGGACAGTGCACCTGCTGGATAGTAGTTTGACTGACGTCATAGCGACGTTAGGAGGCTAGTAAACTATCCTAACTTTCTACTATATTCTTTGCACAACGATTCAGTCTTTTCAGTGTGATCACCAGTGATGAGAAGATCATCAACTGACAAGGTCAGCATAACAAATTTAGTCTCTCCTTTAACCACCTCAGTGAACTGGTAGAGACATGCATCAGCTGTCTGGCGTTTGAAACCTAAAGACTTACGAAGCTGATGCCGCGGCCAGGCACTGATCTAGGATTCCTGCGCGGGAAGTAAACAAATAAATAAATCAAACTAAATACCCAAGTATAGTTGCACGAAGATGTCCACATCGATGCGGGCAGCCTACATGAATGAGACGATGGGTGCGCCTCATGCATGACGCTCTGCCAGCGACGCGCGACGCCGTATCGCCGGAGGAGGTGGCGCCGCTGGCCGACGACGAACCGCACACGTTCTCGCCCCTCGCGAACGAGGCCGTCGTCGGGACGCCCCTGGAGATCGCGGCGCCGCCGGGCGCGGCCACGCCGCGAGACGACGGCGGCTACCGCGCGGATGTCGACGGCCTCCGCGCCGCGGCCGTAGCGGCGGTCGTCGCCTTCCACGTCGTACCCGGCCGGCTTCGCGGGCGTCGACGTGTTCTTCGTGATCTCCGGCTTCGTCGTGGCCGCGTCCGTCGACCGGAAGCTGCGGAAGGACCGTGGTGTTCGAGCCGGCGAATTCTACGCGTGGCGCGTGGGCCGCCTCGCGCCGGCGCTGGCTGTTGCGACGGCCGCCGGCGCGGTCGCGCTCGCCGCCGTTGGGAAGGGCGAGCCGCGGCTCGGCGAGTATTTCAACACGGGTCTCCTGGGCCTGGTGGGAGGCGCGAGCGTCTTTTGGCTCTCAGTAGCGGAGCGCGACGAGAAACGCGAGGTCGAGGCGACGGGAGGCGTCACCGACGACGCCGGCGGCTACTTCACGGACTACGGCGACGCGGACTGCACGCCGGCACAGCCTCGATCGCAACCCCTTCATGCACACGTGGTCCCTCGGCGTCGAGGAGCAGTTTTACGTGATCTTGCCGCAAATCGAGCGGGCGGAGTGGCCGCTCCTCGTTGTCGTCGTCGCATCTGCGGCCTACGCGGCGACGGCAGAGGCGTCGATGGCCTTCTACCTCATGCCGGCGCGCTTCTGGGAGCTCGGCACGGGCGTACTCGCGTGGCACGCGCTCGAGTCGCCGCGCTGCCGCCGCGACGCGCTCCTGGCGCGCCTCGACCGCGCGGGCGCGCTCGTCGACGCGGCCGCGGGCCTGTCGCGACCGGGGCGCGGCTGGCCCTTCCCGGGCGCCTGCCTCGCCGTCGCCGGCGCGGCGGCGTTCGTCGCTGTGGGCGCCGCGGTTAAGGCGCGCGGGCGCTGCGGTTCGAGCCCAAGTTGAAGCGGTGTTTACCATATCCCGCCGGCGGGATATGCTAACAATTCCCCGGGGTTTCAGTGAAAATGCCCCCAAGGAGGCGGAATCGACGCAGAATCGGGGTGTTTCGACGGAACGACGGTCCTTTAAACGCGGCCAAGGATCTCATCAAAATCGAGGTCTGCTGGGGGTCCCTCCGCGTGGCCGGAGCCCAACATCATAGTACAACGTGCGCATCGAAAAGAATCTCTAGCCCTTGCCGGGCCGGGAAAAAATAAGCGCCTAGGCCTTGTTAGTTCACTTTCGGTTAGAAAGTAAAATCAGCCTCGATTCCGACTCTGAATCGGGAGGGCCACTCATAGCTCGTCGACCATGCGCTGGAACAGGAGACTGGCCCAGGTGTCCTGCACCCCGGGGAGGCAGTCGTGGGAACAGTCGAAAGTCAAGTCGGCGCGCGAGAGAGCGACCGGGGCGACGTCGAAGAGCTGGTACGGTGTGGCCTGCACAAACAACGGTCGAGGCGGATCGGGACTCCGAGACGCGGCGGCGCGCGTCGACGAGCTCGAGAAGGACCAAGTTCTGCTCGGGGAGGGAGTGTGATTGACCCCCGAAGGTGGACCAGGAGGCCGATGCCTGCGGTGCGGAATCGTAACAGCCCGATCGACCGAGAGAAGTCGACGCCGGCCGCCGCGTTCGGTGCAGTCCCGCCGCAGAGCATGCCCCCCGTCGTGTTCCACTCGCCGGGACTATCTCGTCGCACGAATCGGACTTGCGTGGTGCGCACAAAGACGCGATCGACGGCGACCTTTTTCTCCTCGAGGTCCTCGAAGGCGAGTGCCCAACGCGACTTCTGAGTAGCGTGAGTGGGGTCCCCCTCGCCGTGGTCGAGCCAGTGCCCGAAGTTGAGCACCAGGACGTCCGACGGTCGGGGAAGGAAGCCGATCTTCCCCCCTGTACCCCAATCCCTGTGAACGACGCGATGCGTCATGTTGAGCTTGTACTCCAGCGTGCACTCGAGGGTCTTGGCAAACTGACGCGAGAGCGAGTCGCCCAGAACGACGACGCGTCCATCGGTGCCGAGGACGCGCTCGAGCCCTCGCACGAGCGCAGCGCGCGGATCGGACCACTCCCGATACAGATGCTCTGTCGCCGCGGATCCGGTGTTGACGCGCCACGCGTAGTCCACGCGGCCGGCGAGGGCGCCCGGGCTGTTCCTCAGGTCCGAGCCCGCTCGATGAATGAAGGCGTACCGCGAACTCGCGTCTCCCTGCGCTCGCCCCTGCCCGCCATTCTCGTAGCAGTTTCCCTGGCGCTCGCGATTCAGACACGCCTTGTGCTCGCTCGTGTGGCCCGTTGTGAGCCAATCCCGGGTGGGGTCGGCACGGGACCACGATCCGAGGGCCTTTGCGGGCGCCGTGCGCCGGTGGACTTTGACGGCGAAGGCGACGTCGGACCTCCGGTATTCGTGCGACGAGGCCGTGGCTCCACCGGCGCCGGCCGTCGCGACCTGCGAGGCGTTCGCCGAGAACCGGGCTCGTAGGTCCGCGGCCGTGAAGTTGAAGCGCGCGCACGTCGACGCGTTGACACCATCATTCCAGGCGATTGGCCAGCACTCGTTCAGGAGCTCTGCCAGAAGTACGTTCGCCGAGTACCATGCGCAGCGGTACGGCATCTTCAGGTCGCACTCGGATACGAGCCGCTTCATAGCCCGGACTTTGGCTTTTGGGCACTTTGGGTCGTCCTGGCGATCGGGGCGCGTCCTCGTGTCCTCGACGAGGCTGATGGTGAAGTTCAGCCCAAGGGCGTGGGCCAGGGCGTCGTAGCTCTCGCGCGGTCGCGCCCACACGGCCGCCGATTCGAGGACGAGCGTCTGTTCGCGCGGCCAGGTGTGCCAGAGGTGGCGCAGAGCGTAGAAGTAGCCCCCCTTGGCGACGTAGACGCCCGCCCGCTCGCGCAGACTGATCACGTCCCCGCGCGCCCAGTCCCGCTCCATCGCCGCCGCGCGTTGAGAGCCCTCGTCGAGAATCTGGCGCGCGTCGGCGGCGGCGCGAACGGCTCCGACGTCGCAGTAGCGATCACCGTAGGGGAGCAGCGGAGAACAGTCTCGGTAGTCGTCGGCGCTCATTTCGAGCGCCGAGAACCAGACGTCGGCGCCGGGTCGCGCGAGGAGGAGCATCAGCGCGTCGGGGATCACTTTCCTGATGAACTCGAGCTCGTGCGTGTTGAGCGTGTCCACGTAGCGCGGATTGTCCTCGAAGACCACGAATTCGTTCCTCAAAAATACGGCCCTGGACACGGTCATCGCGTACCTCGCAGCTTCCACCGCGCGCGGAACGGTCACCGACTTTTCCTCCTCGGCAAAGTAGTGATGTTCTCCGGTCGGCCCGAAGAACTGCTTCGACGCGAGGAGCTTGAAGCGGAGGGCCGTCGTCCCGCCCTTGAACGCGCCGATGACTAGGAGGCTCGGGAGGCATTTGTAGGATTCGCGATCCGGGACGCAGGGGTGGATGGGTTGCCATTCACTCTGCGAGTCGCGCCACGCGTAGTACGCGTCCCACGTCGGGAAGGCGCGATACTCAAAGCGGGCCCCGCGATGTTGCGCGGAAGCAGCGCGGCGCTGCCGGGAGCCTGTATCGCCAGCGCTCGCGTCGAGGCGAGGGCAGGTGTCGCACGTCACGGGGCAGGCGACGTTGGCCGCGCGATCGAGCTCGCAGCGTTTCGCGGGATTCTGGCGGACCCACGCGCAAGTTCGGCCCTCGCGACTCCCTTGGTACCACGTCGTCGAGTCCTCGCACACGTCCGAGAGCTGGCGGCCTTCGACCACCGAGTCTGTGAGACCTTCGACATCCTCGAAAACGGCCGCCTCGCGCTCGAGCACCGCGCTGATCTTGCTCTTCGCTTCCCACGCCGTCGGTTGCACGAGGTCCGTAGAAACCGCGTCGCCCTTCTCGGCGGGGAATTCGTTCGACGTGACGGAATCTGCCGCCGTGGTAAAGGTGACGATGATGAGGGGCACACGGAGAATGGCCTTCATGTTTGAAATTGGCGTCGGCGGGCGATGATCCGCGGCGGACGTTAGGGTCCGGGCTGCGCCGACGAAGCCGTGCGCAAGGTGCTCCGGGGGACAGCCGTCGATTGAGGCCTCCCCAATGCGACCGCCGGGCGCGTGGGCCCGAGCCGCAATCCGCGGCCCACCATTATCGATAATGAGGCACTTTATATATAGTTTAGATAAATTTAGGAAAAATAGCCAAGGCTTCAATTCAGTCCGCACGGTTAGTACAAGTATGTGCTTGTGTACATCGACTGCCAGAGTTTAGTTTTGCTTCCATGTGGCCAGAGCAGCTCTCGTACCATTCCTTATCCTCCGCGTCGTTTCATGACATTGTATTTCTTAACGACACTCGGAGCGTTGGCAGTCGTTGGCTTCGCGCGTCTCAATACAAAGCGAGGTCCGACCTGCTACATGCAGTGGCTGCGTGGCGCCGAAGAACTTGAGCAGCAGCGAATCGCCGCCGCGGACCCATCATACCGTCCGTATTTTCTAACGAAAAGTCCCTTTCAAAAACGAGTGTACGAACGTTATTCTGGAATCGGCGCTATCGGGCGACGGCCGTCTAGGGACAGCCGTGTGCTCTTCATACACATTGGCAAGGCGGGCGGCAGCACAACTGAACAGTTTCTGAAAGATTCGGGAATTCCTTACGACCAAGTACACACCAACGCAGTGCTTCCCGAGGTCGCGGCTGCACCGAGCTTCTCGCAGACGCTGGTCACCGTTCGCGATCCCATTTCGCGGCTCTCGTCCGCGCTCGATTACGGACTCAAATCGTTGGAGGATAAAGATATGGACGGGAAGATTTCGAGGGCGGAACTATTCGCGCATCTCACTGCATGTTTTCCGCGGCCGACGCTCGAGGTGCTCGTCGAGTTCCACGAGCGCGAGTCCTCCGGTTTCTGCTGGTCCGTGGTCCATGACATGCTCGTGCTCCACGAGAGGCACGCGGAGCACATGCGCCACAATTATTGCTCGCACGTGGGCGGCGTATTGAATAAACTGAAGAACGTCTGGGTCGCCCAGCAGGAGTCGCTCACCAAAGACCTCGAGGCCTTCCGTGCTAACTTCCAAAACTCGACCGTCAGCGAGAGCCCGAGTCGCGTGAAGTGGGTATCGCCATATGGGCAGGCTGGCGAGCAGCATCCCCATGCGAACATCTCCGACGCCTCACTTCGCGCTCTGTCTGCGATCCTACGAGAGGAATACGCGGTCGTGAATGCCGTGTTGGCGATTTCGCGAAATAAGCACGGCGTGGTTTACGAACCTCCATTTCCCTAAAAAAGAATTCCCGAGGGGGGTCTGGCCGAAAATGACCACGTCGCCAGGAGGTGCTTAGAGAGAAGTTTGGAGAGTTTTCTCTAGTTGTGGAGGAATTGCAATAGCTTAGTGGCCCGCTGCTCTCCTAGCTATTTGCAATTTCTTATGGACATCTTCTTACTTCCCTTGTTCTCTTGTTATTTTCTTGGTACGTCGGTGTGTGTGGCGGTGTCGGTGCTGGTTAGTAGTCGGGGTTGGTTTAAGGAAGATTCTTTGAAGAATACTTAGCAGATACTCGACCCCTATTCGCATCATTGACTTAATCGACATCACTTACGATGAAGTTGAAGTCTGTTATCGTTTGGGGTCTACACGGAGTTTCAATCCAGGGGGAGTAGCCTGAGAGAGACAGAGAGATTTCTACCTTCATCTTCAGTGAACTGCTTGATGTTGCAGTCACTGACGGTCACGGTGCACCTTACCCCACTGCGCTCCTACTGCGCATCCTGCTAGTTTCCCTTCCCTTCCTTAATTCATTCTAATCCAGTTTCAAGTCCTATAGACAGCGAACTGAAGGAGTGACTGCCCAGCAGGGACAGGGAGCACAGCGCTCTTCTGTGTCTGTGGTGTCTGTCTGGTTAGCGTCACAGCGACGTGCCAGAGAGCACCAGGCTCAGCGAGGTTAGACAGCGAGGTTGCACAGTCGCCGGACAGTGCACCTGCTGGATAGTAGTTTGACTGACGTCATGGCGACGTTAGGGAGCTAATAAACTACAGCTTCCTAGTTACTCCGAATGTATCAATAAGGGGTCTGGGTAGTACCCCAATCCGCAAAAAAACGCGCCGGGCCGCGGGCCGCCGTAGGTCGCCCGGGGCACGAACAAGAAGGCGCAGAACGCGGCGACCTCGAGGGACGTGCCAGAGGGCATGCGGCGGCTCAGGTAAAGGCCCGCGGCCGCCTTGCGGTCGAGCCAGGCGCGCTTTCGCCGCGCGCGCTCCGCGGCGTAGGAGCAGAGCGTCGTCGCCGTCTTGCCGTCGAAAAGCATGGTGCAGGCCGCCGCTAAAGCCGGGTCGAGGGGCAGCCCGAGCGTCGCGGACGGTGCCTCGAGGCCCGCGAGCGGCGCGCGCCGCCGCGCCGCGGTCGTTGCCGCCGCCTCCACAAGTGCCTCCGCGAGCTCGTCGACGGCGCCCTCGAACCGGTCTGCGAGGCCGGCCACGTGGCGACCGATCCCCAGATCCGCGACGGCACCGCCCCAGCGTCCCTGGTCCGCGTCGACCGAGACGACGACGTGGCCGACGCCGCGCACCGCGGCCGCGTGGACCGCGTCCGCGCCACCGTGAGAGATCAGGGCGTCGCAGCTTCCCAGGACGAGGTCGTGGTCGATGAAGTCGGTTCCCGGGCACCAGTCGACGCCGTCGCCGTCAGGCCTCGGCCCGCCGTGGAAGAACGATCGAAAACCTGCCTGCGCGACGGCGCTTCGAACGACGCGAAACAGCCACGCCTCGTCCGCGTCTGGAGACGCGAGCGGCGCGGACCCGAAGCAGACGAGTACTCGCCGCTCGCCGGCGCCCCACAGGAGCGCGCCGGGGACGCGCGAGTGGTGGAATCGGAGGTCGCGCGGCCGCCAGTACCCACTAAACACGAGCACCGACTCCTCGCCGCGGGCCGTGGCCCATTCCCAGCTGCCCGCCGCGTGGCGCTTCGAGACCGCGGGCGCGCCGCCGCCGTAGACCGCGGCGCCGAGCGCCGGGGCCACGCCTCGCAGCCGCCGCGTCGCGCGGACCGCGGCGTCGACGTCGACATCGCCCAAATGCGCTCGGCCCTCGCCGCCGCGCCAAACGCGCTTCGTGCGCCGCCAGGGCGCGTACCAGGGCGCCGCGAGCCCCGCGGCCCAGCCGGACCGCTCGTCGCCGGCCGGATCGACGGTTGGCGCGCAGAGCACGGGCGTCGCGTGGACGGCCTCGGCGACGTGGAAGGCGTGGGCGCCGTGCGCGTTGAAGCCCAGGAAGCGGCAGACGAGGGGCACGCCCCGCATGAGTAGCAGCGCGGCCTCGTAGATGAGCTCGAGCTTCGCACCCGCGGCGCACGCGCGCGCCGCGGCGTCGCCGCCGTCCGCGACACTCCCGGAGACGCCCGTCGCCGGCGACAGCGCCGACACGCGCTCAAGGTGTGTCCCCCCCCCCAAGGGGAAGCAGAGCTCGATTGATTGTAAATGCCAGGAATGGAGGCCAACGGACCGCGCTTGGAGGGCGCAGCCACCTCCGCCAGCGTGAGGTGGGCTTGCTGCTCCTGTGCCAAAGGAGGGTGGTGGTTGGGCTTGAAAAATTGCCTTACGGCAGTACTATATGTTTCCGGTATACGCACCTACCTCAATCGCTAGACGGTACCAAGCACAAAGACGTGAACATTCTTGATTACATTTCCAGACTTATTCGGATTCGACGATGGGGTTTAGACGATCCTCGTCATCTGAGGACGAGATTGTGATAAAACGCAAATCCCCCGAAAAGAAACCGAAAAAGCGAAAGTGGCATATGAGGATGATTCGAGCGATAGTGACGGCGAAAAGCAGGTAGTTCCGCAGAGTGCCGTGCTATCCTTGAGTTTCTACTAGGCATTCTCGGTGGTAGTCCTCATAAGACACACCTCCCTTGATCAAAGTGGCATTATTTCAAATAGCTCTCAGCAGATCATGGTGTTTGTGGCAATTGTGTGTCGCCTTGAGATTTTGAATGGTGAACATGGGAGACACAGCAATCGCGACTGTCGTTTCAGGATCGCAGAGGTCATTATTTCCGGAGTACGTGCGACCTCCGGAGGAAGAGCTTAACGCTCGCTTAGATGACGTAGCGACGGGGACGGCTGAAGGATCTTGGCGGGAGCTCCTTGTAAGGCGCCCGCGGTGGCTGCGGTTTTGAATGAGTTATTGTACGAGGCACCCTTCGAGTCCCTTCAAGACTTGCCATTGCGGTCCGTGCGATTTCTTTTTGTGAAGCTCGGGCGCGCTCACTCGGAGGAGATCATATAGAGTTAGTCACCGAAGATGGCACCGGGAGCGCAATATCGGGTGGGTCTGGGACCCCCTTGATAATTTGTTTGCCATGCGGTAGAATCTCGACCGCTTGCCGGGCTTGCCACGTCTCTGCAGGTATTTGTTTGCTGCCGGGAGGGGCGATTGAAATACTGTGTGTCCTGCTAGTGTACACGAGTGCAACTCCCTCGAACAACCGCTGTTCCTCTTTTTGTGGATGGGATGAAACCAAGTCGACGGTGGGGCGCTTACTGGCGAGGCGGGCCTACGCCGTATAATTAGTGGAGTGTACGTCATTGCCAAGAATTCCAGAATCCAACTTTCAACGACTATTTGCATTCGGATAACTACCGATATCAGGGCCGTTGGCTCGCGTACGATCACGAGCATGCGGCAGTCCTGGTCGCCGCCGCGCTCTACTTTGCGCTGGGCTTCTGGAGCTTGGGCATCGTTTGGCAGATGACGCGGGGTTGGAAGCGTTTCTATGGCCTCAAGCGGGCAAAAATTAAGAAGCTCCAATGCGACGCCATGTGTCGCACAGTGTTCGTCAAGGGCCTGGAGGTAATCGGTCCAAATGCGGTAGAGTTTGGAACGCTCGTCGCGGTAGTCGGCTTGTCGGCCTTCGCCGGTCGGGGGTCCGGCCCCTCGGGGATCCTCGGCATCGCTGCGAGTGGAATCGTCGTCGTCATGGTCTTCCTAAGCAAGCGCTCGATTATCACGTTGATCATCGTCTTCGAGATTCTCGAAATCGCCGTACAGACGTACCAGGTTGTGCGCTGGAGCGGCCTGGACCCCATCGAGCTCTGGATGCGCGGCCGGGACTCGGAAGAGTACCATGTCATCGTAGCCAACGCCGCGATGCGAGGGGATGAAGGGCTCGCAATCGTGATCCTGGCGCGGCGCGGCGTTTTCTGACCACACGAGCGTTTTGAAAGAAAACTGGCCGTAGGTATGGCTTCTCGTAATCAACTGCTGCTTGACCGCGTCGCTGCTCGTGTTCCGTCGATTTTCGCTCAGGCAGGTGATCCTCGACGCGGTTCTCGAGCTCGCGTACGCGTTCTGGGCCCTCTCCGTGGCGCACATGGAAAGCGCGAGGAACGCGAGAGTCCTCGGAGATCATCTGCCGCCGATCCTCGTGTCCAACTCCGTGGCCGACATCTTTCTCGACGTCTTCCCGTTCATCCCTTTCTTGCTCCATTTCCCGGTCGGGGCGAAAGAGGGCGTCGCGTACCGCCAGAATCACCTCGCGAAAATCGCCGCCGGCGCTCCGTCGTCTCCCGACGCAAACGACGAGGAATCAGGCTGTCTCGAGTCCTCGAGCAAGGAGGAAGCAGTCGCTCCCGAGCGCGGTGCGGCTAATCGGGGGGTCAAACGGGAGCCTGACGCGGCGAACCCTCTGGTTTCGTACAAAGAAAGCAAGGAGAACGCACCTGAACCCGACACGGACAGGCCGCTGTTCGATGCGCCTTCGAGCAAGGATGACATGGAGACGGCACCCGAGCCCGACGCGGCCAAGCCACCGTTTGACGCGATCCCAAGCAAAGATGACTCGAGTAAGGCAACAAACCTGTCCTCAAGCAAGAGTGACGTGTTGGAGCGCAGCGTGGAGAATGCTAGCGTCCTGGAGCCGTCTACCCCCGAGCCAGATATCGACACTACGGTCGTACCGGACGTCACTTCGCAGATTACCGACGCGGAGACCGCGGACGTCCCTCGGGTCGAGGCCGCGAACGGTGGCACCTCCGACATACGCAACGAGGTCGCCAGCTCGACCGCCGACTTCGGAGGCAAGCAGGAAGCATCCATCACGTCGCACAGGAGCATTTTTGCCCTCAGCGTCGTATGGGTCCTCAGCCTCGCCACGGGTATCGCGGTGACGGCGCTCGTTGCATCGGCCTCCGAAAGAGATGACGGATATGAACTCGTCAGCGATATCTGCAAGACGATTGCCTTCGACTGGACGTTCCCCAAAGGGCACGAAGGTTCGACGAGCCAATTCGGTTGCGCCGAGGGCGCCAACATAGAAAGAGGAGGGGATTGTCAGGAGTGCAAAATCGGTGTTCGTGGCATTTGCCGGTTGTGGGAGGCTCAGATTTGGAGAGAGCAGGGTATCGGCGCGAGCCTGCACAGCGACGCGATTCACACGCTCTGGGGGACGGTCGTCTGCGCCCAGAGCACGCTCCAGAGCCGCCATCGCAACTGGGATGAAGTGCCCCAATACCTCACGAGTCGCTTCTATAACACGCGCGAACTGGATCTCACGGGCTCGCGCGTGCGGGACGTGGCCGACTTGGTCAAGCGCTTCGTTCTGCTCGAATCGCTCGCAGCGCCGGAGAACGAGCTGGTGGTCCTGCCCGATTCCCTCGGGGATTTGAGGCACTTGGAAAGGCTCGACGTGAGCGGGAACCATTTGCAGGAGCTCCCGGATAGCCTGCTCAAATTGACCGACCTCTTGAAGCTCCACGCGACGGGGAACGACCTGACCGCCGTTCCCGACTTGGGACCACTCACAAAGCTCTTGGACCTCGACTTGTCGATGAATCAGATTCATGACCAGCCAGAATGGCTCGACAAGCTGACATCTTTGAAAACCCTGGATTTATCCCGCAATCTCATCGACGGAAGGTTGACGTCGGCCGTCTGCGCGCTCGCGGAGCTGGAAACGCTCAAGCTCCGGCGCAACCTCCTCGACGGGTTGCCGGATTGTATGGGAGATCTCATCAGCCTCGATGATCTTGATCTGGCATATAACGAGCTCGTGGATGTCGGTCCCGGCACGAGCGCGGCCGGAGCGCTCGGATGGACCCGATACCCGTCGATCACGTTGTTCCTGGATTACAACAATCTCAAGGTGCTGCCCGAGCTACGGTCGGAACAGGTTGGTACGGAGGACTGGAATTGCCCCATGTACATCAGTGTTCGGGGGAACTCTCTCAAGGCGCTGCCGGAAACGTGGGGCCTCGCGAAATGGCACAGACTCTACCACCTCCACGTCTCCGACAACAAGCTCAAGACGCTCCCCGCCAATTTTAGCGCGGCGCTCATCGAACTCAGATCTGAAAATAACAAACTTTCCGAATACCCGCCGATGCTTACCAGTCAAAAGGCGAGTATTTTGGGTTCCGCATGCGCGAAGTCGAATTTGATTACGACGAAAGCAATAACGTTATCAGAAACATCCTTCTTACATCGACCGAAGAAGACGCCACATTCAATCCGGCGCACCGCGCTGTTACGAATATTTTCCTGAGAAACAACAAAATAACGTCGCTGCCGACCACCTTCGGACCTCGCGTCAACGAATCGAGTTCCGCGACGATGGAGCTGGACCTCGCGTACAACAGGATCGAGACAGTTTCCGAGGCCATCGGTGAGCTGGAACATCTTAGAAAGTTGGACTTGCAGTACAATTCGATTCGTACGATCAGCGAGGACATCACGTACGCGAGATCCATCGAGAAGCTCAAGCTCGCGAGCAATCAGCTTCTAGATCTCCCGGAGGGCGTAGGGCGCAAAAGGCGCTACGATAACACCCCCGTGGCTAACCCGCTCCAGGGCCTCTGGCTCGAGGTCAATTCCGTCTCCGAGCTCCCTCCGAGTCTCCTAAACGCCTCCGAGCTCGAAGAAGTTCACCTCTACGCGAACAAGTGCTGCGACGGGGAGACGCCGGATCTCCCCGAGGCCTTCGACGGTCTGGTTGGAGCTGGGGTCGTCACGTGCTGTCTCGAAGAATTGGCGGGCGGCGACGGACGCGACGAAAAGGGGTGCTTGATGAACCCGTCGAGCCAACCGACGTCGTCGGCGGCGCCGACGTCCACCCGAGCGCCCACTTTGGTACCGACTCCGTACGTGCCTCCCGCGCCGACCGTCGCGTGCGTGGACGATCCCGATGCCACGTGGTTCGGCTTTGGATGCGCGGACATGGACTTCATCTTGGCGACGGGCGGGCACGACACCTGCGAAGACGCCAAAAACGGCCAGTTCGCCAGCGTCGTGGATGTGGATGAGGTCATCGCCACCTGCCCCGTCACGTGCGATAGCTGTCGGGAAAACCAGCTGGTCGTTTGAGCCGGTGCTAGGTAGCCCTGGTGGTTTGTAATCCTTGTTTGGTTGACCTGCTGGATGGGAGCGAGGAGCCTCCGGTATCTTTAGCATAAGCTGCGTTGATGGTGCTGATGTCCCCCAACCGGCCATGGACCTGCTCCAGGGCCTCGGCGTCGTCCTCGTCGCATTTTGCATGGCGCTGCCCCTCCTCCCCCGGGGCCTACGCCTTTGGGTTCTGGGCCCAGTGGAAGCGGGTCCACGAAGGCCGGTGTGTCAAGAGCAGCCCCTTGGTCCGTTGGGGGCCGTCTGTGAATCGAAGATCAGCCCGGCTCGACCCCCGGGGGGCTGTGTCAAGAGGTAGGCGGTAGACTACCCTCAGACAGCATGTACTACTAGTAGTACTAACTAACTACCCCTGAGTCGCGACCTGCTCAAAATGAGTGGTCAAAACAGCTGCAACATAGGGTCAACGAAGCCTGTGAACCACCCGCTCTGGCCAATCGGCAGCTGGAGGGGCTGCTCGGCCACGACCTCCACTCGGTCGAAATTGAGGGGGGGAATTGGCCAAATTGGCCGCCGGATTGGCCGCGTCGGACGAACGCCGTTGGCCAAATTGGCCGGATTGGCCGCGTCGGACGAACGCCGTCGGACGGCAGCCAACCGCGATCGGACGATCGGACGAAGAGCCAACCGCGATCGGACAGGGACGAGGCCATTGGACGAACCCGAGGCCATTGGACGCGACCCCCGGCCATTGGACGTAAAAGTCATCCATTGGCTACGATCTCGCGACGTTGGGCAGCGTCTGGGGCAGCCCGCTCGCGAGCGGCGACGGCCCGGAGCGCGTGGATTCCATGGAAGCGGCCAACGCCGCCCTCCCGCCCGCCCAAGACCTCGGCGCCGATGAACCAGAACTTCCTATCCGCGGACTGCCGCCGTTCTGCAGACATCGATCACTGCGAATGCGGCGCGCGTCCCCCGATTTTTGCAGCTCCGGGTTTATACGCCGTGACAGGAAGGACATGGGGCAACATATCACCTCTGTGCGGTCGCCCTACGGCTGACTCGGGTTCGAATCACCCCCACGCGGCGGCGGCGGCGGCGGCGGCGGCGGCGGCGGCGGCGGCGACGACGACGACGACGACGACCGACCGACCGACCGACCGACCGACCGACCGACCCCCCAAAGTAGGCTACAGGGCTTCGCCGGGGGCCCGAAGGGACTCGCCCGGCACCTCCCCGAAACCCCAATATATTTTTTTAAAATTTTACCCCCCGTACCCGGCGCTCTCTGCTGGCAGTCCTCGCATTACACCGTGACTGACGCAGAGCTCGCGACTCATGTCGGCCAGCGGTCGGACGATCGGACGATCGGCCAGATCGGACGATCGGACGAAGCTCATCGGACGCACGGCCAATCGCGGTTGAACGTGGCCAATGGGATTCAGCCAACGCAGCCAATCCGGCCAATTTGGCCAATTCCCCCCCTCAACCTGAGGGGTTCAACGTGTTCATTTGTTTGCCGCGCAGCAGCCCCGGGGACGTCGCAGGTCAAAGGCCCTCGAGATGGACGAACGCTCGTTCCTCGAGGAGGCGCAGCGCCAAGTTGACTCCGGTCGCGGCCTTGACACGCTCGTTCGTGTGACGATCGACCGCGACAGCGTGCGCATCGAAAACCGTGCAAATGGAATGACCCTCCTTTATCACGCAGCGAGCAGGGGCTGGTGCGAGGCCATCACGTGGCTCCTCGAGCAGGGCGCCGACGTCAACGTGGGCCTGCCGAGTCTTGGTTGGACACCACTGCACGACGCCGCTTTGCAAGGCCATTTAGATGCAGCGGTCCTCCTGCTCGACGCGGACGCGCGAGTCGACGTGCGCAATAACTACGGAAACACCGCGCTCCACAATGCCGCCTTTGACGAACACACCAACATGTTGAAGCTGCTCCTGAGCCGCGGCGCGTCGATCGACGTGCGCAACAACTACGGCGAAGACCCCCAGGCCTACGCGCTACGCTTGGGCCACACGGCCACGGCCGACCTCCTCGCCGCGGTCCGCGCGGCGGGCGGCTGGCCGTTCTACGCTCGCGCCCCGCGCGTCCAGCTGCTCATGCTCCGCATCCTTTGCGAGCGGGGCCGCGCCGTGGCGCCGCCGGGGTGGGGCCGCGCCGTGGCGCAGCCGGGCCTGCTGGCGCGCCTCTTCCCGTACGAGACTGAGCGCCGCGCGTCCCTCCGCAGCGCGCGCAACGCGCCCGCCGCGCTCCCGAAGGAGGTCTTTTGGCACATCGCCCAGTTCTGGCGCAGCGCCCGCGACCCCGACCCCGACTCCGAGCCCGACCACACGGACGACAGCAGCGAGTCGGAGTCGGAGGACTAGTCCCCCTGCCCTCCTAGCCCTCCTACCAGCGCCCTATGGCTTAGTGCGCGCTATGGCTTAGTTCTTAACGCACCCGACTTTCAAACCCCACGAGCAGCGCAACCCCGCCGATCGAACGAGCGCGAAGCGCGAGGCGCGCCGCGAGCGAATGCCCAAAGCGCCGGCCGCGGCCCGCGAAAGTCTTCCTCCAAAAGGGTGGTGTTCGAAAACACCGGTGTGGTTGTGTGAGTGGGCGGCCCGGCGGGTATTGGTCTTGGTGTCGAGGCGCCCGGGCTCAGCGGGAAGATTTACCCGCCGAAGCCGTAGAGCGTGCGGCCCTGGCGCTTGAGCGGGTAGACGACGTCCATGGCCGTGACCGTCTTGCGGCGGGCGTGCTCCGTGTACGTGACGGAGTCGCGGATGACGTTCTCGAGGAAGACCTTGAGGACACCGCGGGTCTCCTCGTAGATGAGGCCGCTGATGCGCTTGACGCCGCCGCGGCGAGCCACGCGGCGGATCGCGGGCTTCGTGATGCCCTGGATGTTGTCGCGCAACACCTTGCGGTGGCGCTTGGCGCCGCCCTTGCCGAGTCCCTTGCCTCCCTTTCCGCATCCAGACATGATGTAGATGTGTTGATTGCTTGTGTTTAGCAAAACTGGGAGGCCGTCGATCTCGCGAGGCGGCCGCCGGAGCGGACCTCGTGATCTCGATTCTGATTGGCTGAAAATCTTCAGGCAGCTAACTTGGAGTTCGAAATAAAAGCCTGAAGAAATTCGACCAATCAAAAACGAGATCACGAGGTCCGCTCCGGCGGCGGCCTCGAGCTTTTCAGAGTCTGCTCCAAACACCAAACAACACCATGGCCCGCACGAAACAGACCGCACGCAAGTCCACGGGAGGCAAGGCCCCCCGCAAGCAGCTCGCCACCAAGGCGGCGCGCAAGTCCGCCCCGGCCACGGGCGGCGTCAAGAAGCCCCACCGCTACCGCCCGGGCACCGTCGCGCTCCGCGAGATCCGCCGCTACCAGAAGTCGACGGAGCTCCTCGTGCGCAAGCTCCCCTTCCAGCGCCTCGTCCGCGAGATCGCCCAGGACTTCAAGACGGACCTCCGCTTCCAGGGCTCCGCCGTCCTCGCGCTCCAGGAGGCCGCGGACGCCTACCTCGTCGGCCTAGGGTGGTGTTCGAAAACACCGGTTGTGGTTTGGGGCGGTCGTCGCCGCCGAGCGACGCGCGGCGGCGGGGCGACCAGGACGACGCTTATGCACGCTGGACTTTGTTCCATGTACGAGCCCTGACGTAACAGCGGATCTTGGGGAAAATAAGAGGTCCTCGACATATGTTCCTATCGAGAGATGAGGCCCGAGTATTCAAGGTAACACCTCGGTTGCCATCACTACCGGACTTAGGCCGTAGGGGGCCACGCCCAACCGAAACGAGGCATCTATGGTGGCCACCCGATGGTCAGCAGCCAAGCCCAACAAAAATCCACCGCCGATGGACGATCCATGCAGTACAGAGATTGACCAAACCGATGCGTTCCGAATTTGATCAAGCGGAGACCCAAACCCGCAAGTACCGATAGCCTTGATCCACCACGATGGGAGTACCATGCCTCCCCGGTCATATCCAGAAATGCGGCCCAGCAGCTTGCAGCACGGACGCTCGCACAGACCTCGAAGCAAACGCAGACCTCAATGATGATGCCAAGTTGTCGATAAGCTGCGGTGTCAAAGCGTTGAGTGTTGGACCGTCGAAGAGCTCCATAACTGCTGCTCCAGAGCTAGACCAAGTCAAGGTGATTGTATTGTCCCTAGCTGGACATGAATTAACACTGCTGACGCTCATTTGTTGCATACACAAGGCGGCTGCTGCATTTGTGAGCACCGCGCGAGTTTGCACGAGGGATTTCGCGATTGCACCGCACGGATGATCACTCTCGTCAAAATTGAGCCCCGAGGCGCATTCATCGGACTTGGTTGTGCGAACAAGGTGTGTTGCGGAGACTTCAAACGCATCTGCAACGCTATATGCTCCGCTTTGACTGGGGAAAGTCTCATAAACAGCTCCGACTGATGATAATACGATGCGCGAGGCTCGCTGAACATACTCAAGCACGTTTATCCATACACGACAAGAGGAGAACATCGCTGCGATGCACGGAATGTCACTTGGCAGACTCATTTCGCTAGAATAAGTTTGTGGTTCACGAGTAGCGCCTGAGATGTGAAGAATGACTCACGTCCCACCTTGACATGCGACGTGAACGACTGAAGTCAGGGCTGCTCTGGATGTAAGCTGGGTAAGGCACAGGCACAAGATAGTATCATCCTTGCTCGCGACCACGCGAAATGTCCCCTCGTTTGTGCCCATGTCGTCCTCGGTGTAAGTAGACGTTGGCTTTGTTCGAGACAAATACCGTGACTTGAGCTTGTCCCCGTATAAACCTCCCGCCGTTCGCAGACACAGATAGGTCACACTGCTCGCCCCGCCTTCGTTCCGGGCGCGGCATACCACAACGGCCTCGTGCTTCGAATACACGTCCGCGGCTTCTTCTAGTTCTGGGCAGAAAGCAAGATCCCACGAGGAGTCGTTGCGTCTCTGGGCACCGGGGGCGAGGAGCGCTATCGTCGGGGCTATGGCAAAACCAGTATTGAGAATTGAGCATCCATTATTTGCTTCTCGCAAGTCAAAAATAATCCCACGTGTCGCGCATCATGATACTCATCATGCTTGCAAGGATGATCACACCATTGCTATGCGATCCGAACTCCAACAGCAAACACAAGGGTCATCCCAAATGACACAAGGATCCCGATGCAAGCGGTGGTGGAGGAAAAGTCTCGGTATGGAAAACGCACGAGATCAGCGCCCTTATCATTGCACGAAAACCGAAAAACGGCTGACGGCAATACCACAATTCCCTGCGTGATAAGTCAGAGTTGGCGCGTGAACTACCGGCAGTGCTGCCTTGTTCGGGCGCATCGACAGTAAAGAATTGTGCAAGCCCGTCACCTTGATCTGCTTCAGCGTTCACACGTAGCTCGCGAGGCAGTCAGTAGCATCTTGCCGATTACAAGCGAGATTCAGCATGCACCGACGTCGTTACGGGCGAATTTCAGTCGCCGCCGGGGGGCGAGCCGCCATAGGAACGAACTCGAAGCGCGACGAGACGCGTCGTCGAGTGGTCTAAGATCCGCGAACGGAGCCCGGCTTCCTCTCGAAGAGTGGCTCGACGACCCCGCGCGCGCGCGGCGCGAACGAAGATCGTCGCTGTTTGTGAAACATAGACCCAACGTCGCTGCGTCGACCTGGGGGCATAAAGCGACACCCGGGCCGGCGCCAGGGCGCGTCGATTGAAATTCGCACGGCGGCCCGTCGCGCGCGCGACGACGCGAGTGGTTATCCCTGGCCAAAGTCAGGTATCTCAGCCTCGCACCCGAATGCGCGAAGCGCGCCGAAGCGAGAAAACCACAGACGTCGTCGCCGTCGGTGCCCATGCTCTGCGCCGCCGCCTTGCACGTCCTCGCGTTCTTGCACCCGCTCACGACCTGCGCCATGTCCATCGAGTTCCAGAACACCACCCTTCGCATGCCCGCGACGGCGTCGGCGAGCGCGGCGCCGGGCGCGCAGCCCGGCTGGATCGGCCAGTACTCGGCCGACGACAAGCAGGTGAGCCGCGCGGGCAAGTACTACATCAAGCTCTGGCAAAGCGGCCTGGTAGACGCAGGTGAGTAAACTGATCCAAAGGTGAGGGCTAGGTAGCAAACCAATAATCCGGTTGACATGCCAGTGTCCCCTGAAGGTAAGAAGGTGCTCACTCCCCGACTCGACTCCACATCCAACCAGAGGCGGCGAAAAGCGGCAGAGATGTCCACCTTGAGCAGCCGAATGGGAATGCCAGGGGCACTCAACTGGAGACGGATGCACTGGAGAATGACATACATGTCTTCAACTTCTCCTTGGGCTCATCAAACTCGGTTATGCTTCTTGATGCAGAAAACTCCGCCTGCTCCCTTACTGACGCAAGCCTAAAGAAAGCTCCCGGCGGGCACAGGTCAAAACTACCTGTGGCTGCTGCAAACAACAGTCTCTGTGTCAGTTTTGGTTTGACTGTAAGGTTCAAACTCGTGACGTCATCCCACAAGTTGTGGATAACCCCAAAACGGTTCGAACCGGCGTTCGCAGCTATGGAAATGCGACTATTGTTGCCGCAATAGGTCAGCATGCAAACTCTCAGCTCTTCAAACCTACTTATCATCAGCGGGTCGGACAGAGACTTGCTGCCGCTCCGCTTCGTAATTCCGCCCATAAGCTTCTCCACTTGACTGTTCGCTGCAGCTGTTATTCCGGCAGAGGCGTCTCCTAGCCTTTCCAAGGACTCAACCAGTCTAACAGCGTTAGTCTGTTGTCCACGCGGAGCGGGTGGACCTGCAGGAGGGACGTGATCTGCCCCGCCGACGCCTGGGTTTTTCCGACCATCTGGCTCCTTAAAGTTTTGAGGCGGTAGACTCTCAATCCTGGAGCTCCTTCTCGGAGCGGGTGCAGGGCGCAACTGCAGGTTCTGCTCCAGTAGTACGGCTGTTGCGGCCATAGGTTGCCGGCCAGTCTTAGGAGCAGAACCAAAATCGCACAGCACATGCGGGCGTCTGGGCAATTGCCCAGCTTGCCCAGTGGTCTCGGGCGATGCCAGGAGCACAGGGTCCTCTGGTCTACGTGGCTGCGACTCAGCCGAATCATCTCTCAAGGTCTCCTGCGCTGCTTGCTCATCAGACCTCGCAGTTGTCGCCTTTTGCAAGTGTTCCTCCAACCCAAAGCTATCCTCGCTAGAGGCTGGAACCACCTGTGCTTTGAGGTAGGCGGCAGCCCTTAAGTAAGCGCAGTGCCCTCGCAGAATGCTACCGCTATTCTCAGCCCCACGCACCAATCGCCCGTTCACTATCGAAACCTCCTGGAGACTATTAAGAAAAATGGACACATTCTCTGACATGTGCCTTGCATGATCAAAGGAACTGAATTCTTCAAATTCGGGTTCTATATAACATATTGAACCCCGCTCCGGTGGTCTAAACTGAAGCCCACCCTCGCTAACGATGGAGGGAAACCGACGGTCTTCTGTTCCCCCAGGTGTAATTATCAAGTTTTGGAGAATATTATCATTTCCAAGTTTTATCAAATCCTGGAAAGATCTCATCTCCGGACGTAACTCATCGCCCTTCAGGAAGGCAAGGCCCATGACCTGATCAAAAATTCGATCCAAAGGTGTGAAAACTATACTCCGGTCTAATGCCGGCTCCCCGTCCCCCCCCAAGCAAATTTGCAAGGATGTATATTTGGGATCAGGGCATTCAAAACTCCGGTCTTTAACCCGGCTTTGGCTCTGGCCAGTGGCCCCACGGCTATTAAGAATTTCATCATGCCGTTGGACTTTGCGAGAAATCTCGTCCAATTGTCCAGCCATCTGGCCCACAGACTGCTGAAGCTGCAGCAGGATGTCATACGCTGACCCGAGTTCAGGGGGCTCCTTTTTGCGTTTCTCCTCGATTATCTCGTCATTGAGTCCGCTCAAATAACTGTGAAGCCTCTCCTCAGAAAACTCTGATTTATCAGAGTCATCATAGGGTAGAATTTCAAACATACAAGTCAGGAGTATGCCCATATGGATGGGTGAGTCGAAAGGCTTGCCATCCAAAATACCCACGGCCATCTCACCCACCTCCTTCATATAATGCTCCAGCTGCTTATCACTCAAACCCAACTCTTGGATGTTAGGAGAAACCATATGACCAAAAAAAAATATAAGCCGCGCCACCCCGGACCCCGGGGAAGCGGCGAGCTGGGAGAGGACCACCACAACCAGCAGTTTTATTTAGCTGGATGATGATAGGTGGTCTAAACTCACTAACTCGTTACCGGAAACATATTGTACTGCCGTAAATGCAATTTTGCCCCGGGCGGCCCCCCGAAGCCCGGTACATCGACGCGATAGAGCTCAGCTTCGGCAACTTCTGCAGCGCAATGGGCCGCCTCTCAGGGTCTTCGGACGTCGACACGCCCTTCAAAGCTCGAGTCTCGCGGGAGTTTCAACGTCGTGGCGGCGCGGACACGCGCGGCGCGGCGGCTCAGACGGCGCGAGCGTTTGACATGCGCGACAGCGGTGCGGCGTCGCGCGTGAAGCGGTACGACGAGGAGATTCGGACCAACGACGCGCGGCGGAAGCGGCAGCGATGCGGTCGGTCCTCCAGCTTCTCGGCCGAGGTCGGGGAACAGATCGAGGCCGTGTTTGACGAGGACGAGTTCACGACGTTCAAGCAGGCGGCGGACGCGTTGGACATGCCGGTGTCCACGCTCCACAACTACGCGACGGAGGAGCTCGGCTACCGCTGCCTGGCCGAGAAGGTGCGCCCCAAGGCGTCGGAGAAGAACCTCGAGGACCGCGTGAAGATGGCCCAGGACATCTCGAACCAGTCCGACGGCGACGACTGCGTGCCCTTCACGGACGAGTTCCACCAGGATGAGAAGTGGTTCTACGTGCACTCGCGCCGGCGGAAGCGCAAGGTCAAGCGGGGCGACGTGCCGCGGGAGACTGCCGTCACGAACGAGGCCTCTCGCACTCATGGCACCAAGGTCATGTTTTCCGGCTGCACGGGCGTCGGGCCCACGGGCGAGCCCATGCACATCGACTTCCAGTGGATCTCGGAGGAGAAGACGGCGAAGCGGAAGTCGAAGAACCACGCCAAGGGCGACGTCTACCGCGTGCCGGCCACGATGAATGCCGCGTACTTCGAACGCGTGATGCGGGATTGCGGCCGGGCGATCCGCGCGCGTTACGCGGAGCTCGGCTTCCCGAACCGGCGCGTGAAGCTGCAGATCGACTCGGCGGGCGGGCACGGCATGGCGCGCGGCGTCAAGGTCTTCACGGCTCTCAAGGAGATGATGGACCGCGACTACAACGTCGAGTTGGTGCAGCAGCCGGGCAACTCGCCGATGACGAACATTTTGGACCTGACCATCTGGCAGGCCGTCCAGCTCGAGGTCGACAACATGCGCAAGGAGACGCGCCACCAGGTCGACGCCCTCGTCGAGACGTGTGACAAGGCCTGGGACAAGATGCCCACCGTGAAAGTCCTCCGGGCCTTTGAGATGCGCCGCGATGTGGCCGCGGAGATGCTCCGCAACAACGGAGCTTGTCCTACCGAGGGCAAGGGCGGCGGCGGTGCCCACCGCGTCCACGTCCACCCCTCCTACGCGGCCCTCCGCGCGCGCCTGGGCATCCTGACGGACGCGTGGTAGACTGGGGGTGTCGTTCGGTACCTCCTCGGCGCGTCTAGGGCTCCTACAATGTCCGTATTCCCCAAACATTTTATTTTTCTTGAACGGAGAGGTAAGTAGCGAGTATCGACTGAGCTGCAATAATAAATAACAGCTCATTCTCTCTCTCTCCTCTGGGCGCTACTTTCCTGGCTAATCGAGGCAAGTCCCCGCTAAATATCTCTGCAGTCAAACTCCGCAGCACCACTGCGAAGGCGTCGCGCGCGCGCGGGTCATCCGTGACTCGGAAGTGGCGAAGCACGACAAGTACGCCAGGCTAGACTCCAAACGGCACCAGAGCGACCCCGAGCCGGCGCAGACCGCTCCTTTAGGGCCGTAGGGGCCGGGGCGGGGCTAACAGGAACGCAGAGCGTCGGGAAACTCGGATGGCTCCTGCGGCGCGGTCACGCACTCGGGCCACGGTGCGCAGCGCCCGGCCTCGTTGTCCGCGGAGTCGGGGTCGTATCTCTCTGTCGACCTCTCCCAGCATCGGAGATCTTATTTCATCCGTGAGATCACTCGTTGGAACAAAAAAAAGTGACCCCGTGCCGCGTCCGCGCCGTCCGCCGTCCGCGCCGTCCGCGCCGCTTCGCGGAAGGGAGATTCGAAGCCGCGACCCCCTCGCGTCCAGCGGGGCATCCAGCGGTTGGGAAGAACTTACCCCGGGCCTCGGCCGCCGTTCCCGTACATAAACGCCCTCCCTTTGTGGCCCATGATCACACAACCAATCCCACAAAGTTTGCCGGCGATTCGACCATTCATCGACATGCCAGCACGCGGTCTCCAGCGGAGGAAGCAGGGACGATCGTATGCCCCGAGACACCCGCATTGCGCGCCGAAAAAGGCGACTCGCCTATGCTCTGCGAAGCGCAGCCCGCACTCATCGTTATCTTCAAAAAATCCTAGAAAATAGAGACTTGGCCGGGGGCTCGGTACCCTTTTTGATTCGCAAATGGGGCGCCGCCCCATTAAAAAAACGTTTAGGGTACCGCAAAACGGCCTCGATGGGGCCGAGCTAGCCTCAAGTCAAGCCCGCCGAGCGACATGAGGGGCCAGAACGACATCCAGCGGGCGTACTTGTCGCCAGTGTCAATCTCCGGATTTTTTCAGGAGCTGCGCGCGCGGGGAAGATGACCGAGTATGAAGGGGCACCCCAGTTCGGGAAGTACGGGCTCGCGCCGAACTTAAAGGATCGCCAATAAAGGGGCGCCGACGACCGCGGGAAACATGCGAAGTTGAGGTTTTGTGTTCCGGAACCGTGTTCCGCTAAATTTCGAGGGCGTGCGTCGCCGGAACAGCGTCTGGGGGCTGCGCCGGTACGCCGGAACGGCCGGGAGCGCCCGGAGTCGCGCGCTCCGGAACACAGCCTCCTGCCGGCGCACGCGCGCGGCGCGCGCCGGAACATGTCTGAGGAGTTCGTGCTGTCGGATTCGATCTCTGCGGCTGCGGTGTGCGCGTCCCGATTCGATTTTGGCAGCCCCGTATATATTGCCGTTACAGTTTGACACATCGAACGATATTGACCTCCCCTGTGCTGTTTTCTGTCCGGTTGTAGGTTCGAATACCCACGCGCGCGTCGTCGTCGTCGTCGTCGTCGTCGTCGTCGTCGTCGTCGGCGGCGGCGGCGGCGGCGGCGGCGGCGGCGGCGGCGGCGACGATGCTGCTACTACTCTAGATAAATTTGGCGCACCTGTTGTGCACTGACGACGACCTGTGCCTCGCCTCAGGGTAATTTGGTTTTTGTGCCCTAGGTAGGGCGCCGTGCGTAATTTGCCTGGCCTGATGCCCAGGCCCCTGGGGGCTGGTGCTCGACGCCCAGGTCCGAAGTCCCTGTCTCATGACGCGCACTAAGCGTGCCGTGAACGGGCAGTTGAGAAGGCAAATCCGACCGGAAATCTACCGGAACACCGGAACACGCCGGAACACGCCGGAACACGACCGGAGGACGCGAACCGGAACACGCGACCGAGGGGCCCGGGAGAGCCGGAAGCCGGAACATCCGCGAGACCTCTACCGGAACATTAGAGCCGGAACATCAGCGAATCCGGTGATTGACACTGCTTGTCGCGCATCGCCACTGAAGCCCGCAGCCGCCGCGAGTAGAAAGTTAGGATAGTTTACTAGCTTCCTAACGTCGCTGTGACATCAGTCAAACTACTATCCAGCAGGTGCACTGTCCGGCGACTGTGCAACCTCGCTGAGCCTGGTGCTATCTGGCACGTCGCTGTGACGCTAACCAGACAGACACCACAGACATGATCGAGCGTCAAACTTGAAACCACCAGTTTGCTCAAGCTCGAGATCAAAACTGGTCGATAGAGCCCGAACAAGCATATTTCCGGTGGATTCGAGTGGTCTCCAGCGGCCCCAGGGGTACCACCCCCACCACCACCACCACTACCTCACCCCATTCTCAGAGCACTCATCTCAGATCAGCATGACAGTGGTTAAGGTTGTTTGTGGTACGTAAATGCTTGCGTACGTAAACAAGGTTGTTTGTGGTACGTACGCAATTTTAGACGAGTCGTGGAGCACAGCTAAAGCTGCGGGCACAGACTGCCGCACGTCCTGATTCGCCGGAGCTTGCGGCAAACCGGGACATCGATTGAACGAGATGAGCAAGCGCAGCAAAAAGTATCGAGTCGAGGGTGAGGGTCCCTCTGCAGAAATCCCGTCGAGGGCTATTGATGCGCATGATGGTGGGCACGTCGACGAGGTTAAGCAGGAGTTACACATTGAGAAATTCTATGAGTCACTCGGGCCCGTGGGCGTCCTCTTTCCTCTCGTCTTCCTAGGTGTCGCCGCGATCCTGTTCAGCCTCGCCGCGAACGCGATCGCGCTTTACCTTTTGAGCAGGAACCGCAGGTTTGCTTGCGGCGTCAATTCTCGCCGCCTCGGTGAGATCCGACGCAGGTCTCGGTGGCGGGACAAGATCATGCCCTCGTGGAAATCGGCCGGAGTGGACGCGTACACGGACATGTGGGCCGGATACCTCCCGCTCGGGGCGGACAAGAACATGCCGAACTCCGACTACGACTATTTGCATTCGGATAACTACCGATATCAGGGCCGTTGGCTCGCGTACGATCACGAGCATGCGGCAGTCCTGGTCGCCGCCGCGCTCTACTTCGCGCTGGGCTTCTGGAGCTTGGGCATCGTTTGGCAGATGACGTGGGGTTGGAAGCGTTTCTATGGCCTCAAGCGGGCCAAGATTAAGAAACTCCAATGCGACGCCATGTGTCGCACGGTGTTCGTCAAGAGCCTGGAGGTAATCGGTCCAAATGCGGTAGAGTTTGGAACGCTCGTCGCGGTAGTCGGCTTGTCGGCCTTCGCCGGTCGGGGGTCCGGCCCCTCGGGGATCCTCGGCATCGCTGCGAGTGGAATTGTCGTCGTCATGGTCTTTCTAAGCAAGCGCTCGATTGTCACGTTGATCATCGTTTTCGAGATTCTCGAAATCGCCGTACAGACGTACCAGGTTGTGCGCTGGAGCGGCCTGGACCCCATCGAGCTCTGGATGCGCGGCCGAGACTCGGAAGAGTACCATGTTATCGTAGCCAACGCCGCGATGCGAGGGGATGAAGGGCTGGCAATTGTGATCCTGGCGCGGCGCGGCGTTTTCTAAACGCGCGCGATATAAATGGAACTGGCCGTAGGTATGGCTTCTCGTAATCAACTGCTGCTTGACCGCGTCGCTGCTCGTGTTCCGTCGATTTTCGCTCAGGCAGGTGATCCTCGACGCGGTTCTCGAGCTCTCGTACGCGTTCTGGGCCCTCTCCGTGGCGCACATGGAAAGCGCGAGGAACGCGAGAGTCCTCGGAGATCATCTGCCGCCGATCCTCGTGTCCAACTCCGTGGCCGACATCTTTCTCGACGTCTTCCCGTTCATCCCTTTCTTGCTCCATTTCCCGGTTGGGGCGAAAGAGGGCGTCGCGTACCGCCGGAATCACCTCGCGAAAATCGCCGCCGGCGCTCCGTCGTCTCCCGACGCAAACGACGAGGAATCGGGCCGTCTCGAGTCCTCGAGCAAGGATGAAACAGTCGCTCCCGAGCGCGGTGCGGCTAATCGGGGGGGCGAACCTGAGCCTGACGCGGCGAACCCTCTGGTTTCGTACAAAGAAAGCAAGGAGAACGCACCTGAACCCGACACGGACAGGCCGCTGTTCGATGCGCCTTCGAGCAAGGATGACATGGAGACGGCACCCGAGCCCGACGCGGCCAAGCCACCGTTTGACGCGATCCCACGCAAAGATGACTCGAGTAAGGTAACAAACCTGTCCTCAAGCAAGAGTGACGTGTTGGAGCGCAGCGTGGAGAACGCTAGCGTCCCGGAGCCGTCTACCCTCGAGCCAGATATCGACACTACGGACGCGGCTTCGCAGATTACCGACGCGGAGACCGCGGACGTCCCTCGGGTCGAGGCCGCGAACGGTGGCACCTCCGACATACGCAACGAGGTCGCCAGCTCGACCGCCGACTCCGGAGGCAAGCAGGAAGCATCCATCACGTCGCGCAGGAGCATTTTTGCCCTCGGCGTCGTATGGGTCCTCAGCCTCGCCACGGGTATCGCGGTGGCGGCGCTCGTTGCATCGGCCTCCGAAAGAGATGACGGATATGAACTCGTCAGCGATATCTGCAAGACGATTGCCTTCGACTGGACGTTCCCCAAAGGGCACGAAGGTTCGACGAGCGAATTCGGTTGCGCCGAGGGCGCCAATATGGAAAGAGGAGGGGATTGTCAGGAGTGCAAAATCGGTGTTCGTGGCATTTGCCGGTTGTGGGAGGCTCAGATTTGGAGAGAGCAGGGTATCGGCGCGAGCCTGTACAGCGACGCGATTTACACGCTCTGGGGGACGGTCGTCTGCGCCCAGAGCACGCTCCAGAGCCGCCATCGCAACTGGGATGAAGTGCCCCAATACCTCACGAGTCGATTCTATAACACGCGCGAACTGGATCTCACGGGCTCGCGCGTGCGGGACGTGGGCGACTTGGTCGAGCGCTTCGTTCTGCTCGAATCGCTCGCAGCGCCGGAGAACGAGCTGGCGGTCCTGCCCGATTCCCTCGGGGATTTGAGGCACTTGGAAAGCCTCGACGTGAGCGGGAACCATTTGCAGGAGCTCCCGGATAGCCTGCTCAAATTGACCGACCTCTTGAAGCTCCACGCGACGGGGAACGACCTGACCGCCGTTCCCGACTTGGGACCACTCACAAAGCTCTTGGACCTCGACTTGTCGATGAATCAGATTCCTGACCAGCCAGAATGGCTCGACAAGCTGACATCTTTGAAAACCCTGGATTTATCCCGCAATCTCATCGACGGAAGGTTGACGTCGGCCGTCTGCGCGCTCGCGGAGCTGGAAACGCTCAAGCTCCGGCGCAACCTCCTCGACGGTTTGCCGGATTGCATGGGAGATCTCATCAGCCTCGATGATCTTGATCTGGCATATAACGAGCTCGTGGATGTCGGTCCCGGCACGAGCGCGGCCGGAGCCCTCGGATGGACCCGATACCCGTCGATCACGTTGTTCCTGGATTACAACAATCTCAAGGTGCTGCCCGAGCTACGGTCGGAACAGGTTGGTACGGAGGACTGGAATTGCCCCATGTACATCAGTGTTCGGGGGAACTCTCTCAAGGCGCTGCCGGAAACGTGGGGCCTCGCGAAATGGCACAGACTCTACCACCTCCACGTCTCCGACAACAAGCTCAAGACGCTCCCCGCCAGTTTTAGCGCGGCGCTCATCGTACTCAGGTCTGAAAATAACAAGCTTTCCGAATACCCGCCGATGCTTACCAGTCAAAAGGCGTGCGAATATTTTGGGTTCCGCGTGCGAGAAGTCGAATTCGATTACGACGAGAGCAATAAAGTGATGAGAAACATCCTTTTTACATCGACCGAAGAAGACGCTAGATTCAATCCAGCGCAGCGCGCTGTTACGACCATTTTCCTGAGAAACAACAAAATAACGTCGCTGCCGACCACCTTCGGACCTCGCGTCAACGAATCGAGTTCCGCGACGATGGAGCTAGACCTCGCGTACAACAGGATCGAGACGGTTTCCGAGGCCATCGGTGAGCTAGAATATCTCAGAAAGTTGGACTTGCAGTACAATTCGATTCGTACGATCAGCGAGGACATCGCGTACGCGAGATCCATCGAGAAGCTCAAGCTCGCGGGCAATCAGCTTCTAGATCTCCCGGAGGGCGTCGGGCGCAAAAGACGCTACGATAACACCCCCGTGGCTAACCCGCTCCAGGGCCTCTGGCTCGAGGTCAATTCCGTCTCCGAGCTCCCCCCGAGTCTCCTAAACGCCTCCGAGCTCGAAGAAGTTCACCTCTACGCGAACAAGTGCTGCGACGGGGAGACGCCGGATCTCCCCGAGGCCTTCGACGGCCTGGTTGGAGCCGGGGTCGTCACGTGCTGTCTCGAAGAATTGGCGGGCGGCGACGGACGCGACGAAAAGGGGTGCTTGATGAACCCGTCGAGCCAACCGACGTCGTCGGCGGCGCCGACGTCCACCCGAGCGCCCACTTTGGTACCGACTCCGCACGTGCCCCCCGCGCCGACCGTTGCGTGCGTGGACGATCCCGATGCCACGTGGTTCGGCTTTGGATGCGCGGATATAGCCTTCATCTTGGCGACGGGCGGGCACGACACCTGCGAAGACGCCAAAAACGGCCAGTTCGCCGGCGTCGTGGATGTGGATGAGGTCATCGCCACCTGCCCCGTCACGTGCGATAGCTGTCGGGGAAATCAGCCGGTCGTTTGAGTAGCAGCGCGGCCTCGTAGATGAGCTCGAGCTCCGCACTCGCGGCGCACGCGCGCGCCGCGGCGTCGCCGCCGTCCGCGACACCCCCGGAGACGCCCGTCGCCGGCGACAGCGCCGACACGCGCTCAAGGCTCGTGTCGTTATCCAGGATCTGTGCGAGCGCGCGTAGGTCTCGGCGCTCACGACGACGCGCACGCGCGCCAGCAGCCCGCAGAGCGCGTCGGCGAGGGCGACGAGGGGCAGGGCGTCGCCTAAAGACCCCAGGGCGACGAGCAGCACACAAGATTCCTTGCCGCTCTGGAGGTCCGGCTTCTCGACGAGCCCGGCCATAGCTCTTCCGCAGGCTCGGGCGCTAGTTAGCAATATGGTGTATTCAACTGAAGTAGGGAGAATCTTCTACTATTAGAGAGGTTCAGTTTTTTTGGGTGATGTTTTGGATGTTGTTTTGGACATTCAACATCCAAAGTGAACGTCATCATCGTGTTTGGCGGTCGTCCAAAGCTTGTTTGGACCATGGTTTTTGGACGTGCCAAAGCGTGTTTGGACATCGAAGGGAGATTTTTAGAAACTCGCGGACGGGGCTCGGGAACCCAGCGTGTGGCAGGGGCCGCCACCGCCCCCCGCCGGCGAAGCTCCCCCGCGCCGTGGGATCGACATTCGGTGCGCGCGGCGCGTCATGGAGGCTGCGTGCGGGGGCGGGGGGCGGGGGCGGGGCAGCCCGTGAGGAGGCCTTGGCGGCCCGGGGCGTGACGCAGCTGGAGGCGATGGAACGAGTCGACACGGGGATGGCGTGGGGTAACCTCCTCGCGTCCCTGGAGCTGGGGCTGCCAAAAACCTTCGCGGTGTCGGGCTGCCGCGGCGCCCGAGCCGCGACCAGACGAAATCGACGATTTCGAGTCTCGCTGCCCAACCCTTCGAACCAGACGACCCCTCGGTGACGACAAACGATCCGTGGTGCTGCGTGGGCTCGAAAACAGCTTTAAGAGGTCGGGGGAGTCGAGCGCGCCCCATTTCGCTCCCTGTAACCGCCCGTCTGAGTCCCTACCGAATCGCCTAGATGTCTTGTTTTCACCGGCGCGTCATCCGTGCGCATTCGGTCCATACAGCTGCTGAGATCGTTGCCCATCTCGGCGTATTCGCGGAGTTGAGGGGCTGCGAAGACGACCATAGCATCATTCGGCGCATCCGAGCGCCCGGCGTCCTGCGGAGTAGAGATCCGTGCTCGGCACCTTCAACAGTCGGCAATGTCCACTGGCGTAAAGATCTCTAGCTGCTCCAGCGCACTGGAAGCCGATCC